AAAGAGGGCATAAAAAAGATGCATATGCACCTTTAAAATCTTCGCTTTAGGTCGAGCACGCATATGAGAGGTACTTTCATAATCAGATTCAGCAATCTGTACAACATCTTCATCACTCAATACTTCAACTTCCTCCTTTCTTCTTTTCGACTGAGCTTGAGGTTCTTGCCATCAGTGCGGTTGGTGGCTTAGTGTCCTCACTGTCACAGGTACATTTGTGTTTACGTTTGAATCTATCTTGCCCACTTTCTACAGTACCTTCCCTGTGAGATGATTTATGCAGAGAAATTGAAAGGATTGCGCAATCTCATACACCCCTCAGATGCCAAGTGAATTGTTGGCTATGTTTTAGTACTTGAATGCTAGCAGGATTGTCATCTGGCCTTGAATCTTAATTTCATGCTGAAATCTAAGCCTTCAATAAATTCTGAGACCTTCTGTGATTGTTCTCTCAAGATCCATTAGAGATGATTCTGACTTCATAAGAGCTGAAATGTATGGCTAATTCTATGGAACATAAAGTAGCTTTGCCACTTGCTAGCATCATTGTTCACTAACTCGAAGCCGAAAATTTTCATATTACATGTGTGTGCATGATACCCAATTTAATGTTCAGCAAAGTGGATTTTGTTTGTTGCTTTATATTATGGTTGTAATCATTGGCTTGTATATTACATATTGTTATACGAGGACCACCCAAAAGTCAAGTTGCAGAAGCCAGTATTACTCATTCATGCCCTACATATAACACATGCTGCAAAGTTATTCTTTTATATGTATGTAATGTGAGTGTATTTGGTTGCTTGGGTGGGTAGACGTGCACATGCATGTGTGGGTCCTTGTTGGGGTTGTATGTATGTGTGCATGTGCATGCGTATGTGGTGTGGGTATGTGTTCAGTCCTATTGTGATGCTGGAAACATGTTTAATCGTCGTTATCCCCTCACCCTTCGATCTTAATTCTTGGACAGGCCATATATCTGTTGAAGCTTATATGTCAGGTCGGGAATTTAGTAGAATGTGTTACGAAAATTTTAGATATTCCTAATACCAAATTCATCTTTTGTAGAATCGTGATGTAGGGATAATCATGTACAAAAATTTCCTACTCGTTTATTTAAATGCTTACTAAGCTGCGAGTGATAACCATTTTTATGCCTACATCCTGGACTCAGTTGAGGCGGTGGGGTTGGAACTGCCTTACTCTTGCCGAGCTGGGGCATGCTCAACATGCGCGGGACAAATAGTGAGCGGTTCTGTCGACCAATTTGTGGAGGGGGAAGGGGAGGTGGAGGGCGGGAGGAGAGGGGAACGGGAGAGGAGGAGGAGGAGGAGGATGATGATGACAAGGAGGAGGAGAGGGAGGGAAGGAATGCAATTTTTTTGATAATTTTGGGCATAGATTTAATGATTTTGAGAGGTTAGGGGCTAGAATAAATTTTCTTGCCGGAATTTCAAGGAAAATGGTCTTATTGACTAAAAGGCCGAGAATAAATGCCTTGTTGTCGCCGTAGTTTTTAAAAATACCAAACTGGCAAACATGTTCGTATAAAAATACCAATTTGGTATTTTAGCCTATAAATATCTGGAGAAACAAACTGAAATTGAGGATACCATCATTCAGGATGAAATTAGTAACAAAGATTGCAAAGTCCGATCCAGGATTGACGATGCAAGAAGCGTTTATCATAGTGTTCATGCTAAGCTACATCACATACTCTATCATCAGTTAGTACAAGGGTGGATTACGCTCAGTTAACACAGCAGGATTTGACTGCGAAGCCTCTTGACGCAAAACTTATTTTTTTTGGATCATATAAATGTTAAAATCAGGCCTTTAGCTTCAAATATTGCTGATTATCAAGAGAATTGTTTGATGATTTGGGACTTTAAAGAATTAGAACACTTTTGGTATCAGGAGAATTTTCTGAAAGATTTATGGTTTAAAACATTAACTGTTTCAACTTTGACTAAACAGACAACATATGATTTTGATGCTTCTAAACCGATGCGATGACTCAAATAGCACCAATACTTCAAAGAAGGGGTCATACTCATATCAGATCTGTACTTGATACATGTATAAACTAATACATAATGAATACATGTAGGGATCTCCTTTTGATGTATCCTAAGGCTTAGGATGTAGCGTAGGCATATCATAAACATTTCATATATGAATCCCAGACTGAAAGGTTAAAAGTATGAATGCAATGATCGCCGGGTCATAATTCTCTTTGATTTGTAGATGCATTGCATTTTTATGATTTGTTCAATTCTTAGCAACCTTATTATTGTTGTATCTATGAATTTGTATCCTAAACTTTTAGGATTTGCTTTATTTCTGTGGAGAAGATATTCTAAAAAGCCCCTAAGATTTACAATGTTTTTGTAAGGACCCCTAACATTTTTTTTCTTGACGATGAAGCCCTTGACTTTTATTTCCGTCTTCTCCTTTAGCCCTTACCTGTTATTTTTAACATGCATAAGGGTAAATTTGTCAAAAGAGGAGAAGATAGCCTAAGAAACCCTAAGTATTACCCCTCTCTCCTAAGGAGCCCCTAACTTTTTTATTTGTTTAAAGGAACCAAGGCCCTTTTTCACGTTTGCAGATATAACCTCTTCATCCACTGGAATAGAGATATTTGCATCTTCTCCTTGACCATTTGTGCATAGCCAGAGATCATCAAACTCCACGTGACTGTATTTTTTTCTTTCGCATGAGATTGGAAACTAACCTAGCATCAGAATGTCTTCACATTTCGCATAAGTAATAAATTATTAACAAAGAGCTTCTAATAGCCATATCTTCTTCAAATACTTCTTTAGCTACAGCACAATGAAGTTGCCTATTCAATCTCACTGCTTTCTCTTCACCACTAGCCTTTAGGATGCTACGCGCTGTAAAGTAATTGGCGAAAGCCATGATTTTGCATCTTTGAAAATAATGAAAGGGCTTCATCAGTATAACCATGTTTTACACATGAGGTTCGATGTCATCCCCTCAAGCCCGATACATGATCCTTATCCAACGTGCATTATTGTGAATTCATGGAAATATTGGACGCAAGAGGTCGCATGAAACCATTCTACAGTATCTTCTCATTCATTTTCTTGTGTCTGCACATCTTTTAAGCACAGTGATTACGATGACACTATCGATGAGAATGAACCTCTCGTTGTCCCAGTCTTGCTGCAAAAAGTCATGATCACCAAGGTTCAAGCACTGGGTTTCTTTACCGCACTTGGGTATGAAAAGATTGGTTAGGATGTGAGGAGGCCGAGCTCGAAGACAATGACATCATCATGAACACTTTCGAGTTCTTCGAGGCAGAATACATTGAAAAGTTCGCCAAAGCGAAAGAAGATTCAGCCCAATCAGATTGTTTTTACCTTTGCAACAAGAATTTGTAGTCAAAGTAACAACATCACGCATTGGCATCTGATCAAATGAACAAGATGCTGGTGTATTAAATAAATGAATCTCTTTATTTGGCATGCTAAAAATCTAGTAATGGAGATTGCTTTTGTTATTCTCTGCAACCTACAGGATATTTGGTTTAGTTGTGGCAAAACTCACAATTGGAGAAGCCTTGTGTAATTCGTTTGTTTGCATCTAGTACTTAGAATGGATGGTGTCGCAATCAGCTGGGGACGAGGAGGAGAACAGCTTGTGGTGTCTGACTCGATGAAAGAGGAGGCAGCGTTGCCGTCACTTTCAGTTTTGTTGTACGTTCGAGAAAAGCCCAGTCTTGATCTCAAACAAAGTTGCTCTGTGTCAAGGGTTTAGGGTAGTCATGTAATCTCTTTTTGACAAATCTACCCCTTTAAGTTAGATAACAGGTGAGGGCTAAGGGAGAAGACGGAAGTGGAAGTCTGGGGCTTTGTTGTGAAGGGAAAAAGAGCTAGGGAGTTTTTAGAAAAACAGGGTAAAACTTGGGGGCTTTTAGAATATCGTGCACTCATATAGTGTTGTATCAGGATTGGTGTGTCCGTACATAGGCATGTCTGTGTTTTTTTTTTTTTTTTTTTTTTTAATCAGGATTGGTGTGTCCGTACATAGGCATGTCTGTGTTTTTTTTTTTTTTTTGTTATATAACTTCTGCATATTCATGACGCAACTGTGTCATAGTTTTCAAAAGTTTCCATATTTTGATGTTAATATCATACGGTACGCCTATCCTGTTTATCCATGCTTCAGAGAAGCAAAATTTAGTGTAGCAAGTCAATTTCAGATTGTCATGCTTCTGCACTTTCGTGCTGGTAGAATACCAATATAATCAAAATCAGCATGATGCCTATCCTATTCTTTGTTCAAGCTAAGAATATCAAACGTTGTTTATATCATGACCGTTTTATCCTAAAATAAAATCAAAATCAGTTCGATTCCAGCCTATCCTAGCTTCCTATTGATAGCCATACGCTTCTGTTGGCATGTGTGTTTTAAACTATGTAACTGATTTCTGTCGTGGATTTTTTACTTATAATTTTATCAAAAGTTCCGTGTCCTCACAACTGTGGAATTTAGTTTATATATGCTTTAGCATACATTCACATAATAATTAAAGCACCTAAGCCAGCTTGTCAGACTAAAGATTGTCCTATCTTTCTATCCAATTATTTGTGGGAAGATTAACCTAATGTCATCTATCATTCTTTTTTCTTGATCTGTTCAAACTTTGCATCTCCCTAAGAGATTGACGAAAGGATTAGGGGCTTCTAATTATGTTGCATTATGTCCTTCACTTTTCTGCTATCCTGAAATTCTTTTGGAAGATATTGATCACATTCCAAGAGATGGACAAAATGAACCCTTATTTTTGTTTAGTTTTCACTTCCTGCTGTGTGAAAATATTTGGTAGTTTGCAACTAAATGCAGATGGCTCTGTAACCAAATGGAAGTGATCAGTTCCTTGAAATAACTTCCTTGGAACACAACCATAACATCAATGATATAATCTTATTAATTTACATTCCATGTACCTGCTGACATTATTATTTCTCTGTGGCGTGAAAGTTCCAAGATACAAACATACCAATTTTGTTCCTTCATTATGTTAAATTCTCATGTAGTTTTCATGTCCATGGCAGGTTGTTACGTGGATCGTCGCAGCCTTATTGATAATCATCAATGCATACCTTTTACTGGATTTCTTTACTGCTGAAGTGCGAGGAGTATTAGTTGGTCTCATGGTTTCTATTTTCATAATTATATATGGAATATTTGTTCTTTACCTCATTCTGCGCGATGGAGAATTGCCCAATCGACTGGCCTCAGCTGTGCATAAGAGCTTTTCATGAGAACCTGAAACCAAAGAACAATGTTTTTTTTTCCTACATTTTCCGGAGCTTGGTAAACACTGTACAGTAAAGCTCAAAACATTTAGAAGAAGCAACCTGATTCCTTTCACTGGACCAGGATAAAATGCCGCGCACTTACAAGTGCGAGGACGAAGGAAGAAGCCACAACTTGTGAATTATAGTAACAAAGAACGTCCTGATATTTATGGAGAAGTTTCTGATGGCAAAGCTTTGTTACGCAGGAGATCGACGTTATTCACTTCTCGACTGACCTCAGTGTGCAAATCATGTTGTATTCTTATGAAAATAACGTGAGAATTGTTGCCAGCAGTGTAAGTTAAATCACCACAGTTGCGTTTAACAAGCGGCATATTTTTGAACAAGTTGATTCATGCAAGATACTAATGAGAAAATCGAATGTGTACTTATTGTTTTGTTGCCCTTTTTTCCCTTCTGTCAAATTACCATACTTCTATTTAGTAGGACAAGTAGGGGAAACAAAATCAGATTTTCATGTCATTATTGTTGATGTCTGATATCACACATCCGATTGAAGTTGCAGAGTTGTTTAGTCGTCGAGGGGTTGAACCGTCGAGAGGGGGCCGTTTCCTATTTCGACTTTATGTCTGGTTCTTAGAGCTCGGGGCGGACGGATCACTTGCACATGCAAGAATTGTGGGTGCATTGGGCTCGTTTACCCAGTGGTACCTCCGACGGTCAAGTTAGCTAGCGGACTTGGGTGGGGTGAAGGAAGATCGGTATGTTCTTCCAATATGTGTTGTTTAGAGAGTTTTTTATTGCAAGGAATCCGAACCTGTTTTTATGGCGAATAGCGTCTGTATTTATAGAGGATGCCAAGGGTAGAATAGACACTTTGTGAGTGTGCGGTTTAAGATGGTGGTGAGGGGTGAGCTGGAGGCTGAGTCACCCTTTGCTCTATACATGTCGATTTGTGAGTGATGGAAGGTCACTTCAGTGATATGGGGAACCAGTAGCCGTTGAGGCTTGTTGATGAGCGGCGAGAAGTCACTTCAGTGATGTGGGGAACCCGCAGCCGACAAGGTTTGTCGATGAGCGGCGAGAAGTCACTTCAGTGATGTGGGGAACCGCAACCGACAAAGTTTCAGACGGATGAGGGCGGAGACATAATGATGATCATAAAAGGTTAAATAATACCGAGAAGAAGTGTTCTGAGTCGTCCTTGGGAGGAGTGCTGGCTAATTGCTAAATAACAATCTTTTGTTATGAAGGGTTCGACTGAGTCCGCCTTTCGAGTCGCCTTTGAGGAATGAAGCCGACTCGACTGGGGGAGTGACGGCTTGCGGGATAGTATATTTGTGAAGAATAGGGGATACCCTATAACAGTTAGTCCCTTTCGTTTGGATGAGGCAGTGGCCGGGTCCAAGGGAAAAATAAGTGAGCAGAGACTGAGTAGAATTAATTTTGACAGTGAGATGACGTCCTTTCTGGACACTAGAACGCCTGACACCATCAAACATTACTAAGGCTGTCTAGTCTGTTCTTTTGTCGGACCGTGGTTTCTTCGAGGAAAGGAGGCGAAACATCATTCAGTTGTTTTTCAAATTCCAAGGCTAGATCTTAACCGTGGGATGAAATGGGTGCCAACGGCTTGGATACATTGACAGTTGTAAAGTAGAAAACTATATAGTGCCGTTTGAAATTCTCATCCGATCAAATTGTTCTCCTTTCTCAACCCTCTTCTAATTTTGTCTTTTGATCGTTGGGAATACCTAGAGATCATTCACTCGAAGGTGACTTTGGCCCAACTGAAGACAATGTCTACGAAGTTTGACATCCCTAACGGATATAAGCTATCAATCCCGACGGGAACGGAGGCCATTTACGATCATGGGCCTGGACGACATCCCCTCTATCTGAATCACTTGGAGTGCGGCTTGAGATTACCCTTGCCTCCATTCTTAAAGCAATTATTCGAGGATTTGGGGGTTTCGCCGGCACAAATGAAACTGAACGCCATAGCCATTACTGTGGCTTTCGCGGTTATATGTAGCTGGTTGGCCATCAAACCTACAACGAAGCTCTTTGCCTATTTTGTGGTCGTAAAGGCGAGTCAGAGGGAGCCCCATTATTACTTTCAGATGTCGGGATCATTCAAGTTGATCGTAGACCTCCTAGATTCCCACAAAGAATGGAAGGAGAAGTTTGTATGGGTGGTTGGAGATGATCTGGAGATGAGTTGTTCCGATTGGTCCGAGATTCGGAGGGATGCACTTGTTAAGAGGGCGTTGTCCAAAGAAGAGAAAGTCCATCTTGAGTCGATCAAGAAGTTCACGGGCTCTCGTTGCTTCGAGGTTCTGCTTGATAGGTCCGTTCTACGAATGACTTCGGTGTCGGTCGTGCTGGCGACTAATCCTGACACTGATAGAGCCATTGCCCTTATTACTGGGTCAGTGGGGGCAACTGCAATGCCCCTAGCCAGGTTAGCCGATCCCCAGGAGGAATCTTCTACCTGGCCGGCTAAGCGCCTCCGCTCAGATGTCCCTCCTTCAAAGGCCCTGTCGGTCGCCGAGGAGAGGGCACCCTTTCCTACTCATAGAAGGAGAAGAAGGGAGGCCGAGGGGGGTACCTCAACTGACAAATGAAGGGATGCAGAGGGCTGTCGTCCCTCTGGGCGGTTTGCAAGGGGGTTCGACTCCGAGATGGTCGGTTGAGACCCTCCTAGAAGAGAGAGCTGATGAATTTGAACATCTGTGGGAGTCGACTCGGCGGGGGAAGGAGCCGGCTCAGGTAGAGACGAGATCACCTGCTGTCGATCAGAAGTACCCTTTTCCTCACGGCTTTTCCGACGTGGATGAGACAGAATGGGACCAGCTAAGGTCCTGCATTATTGTGCGTCCTTCATCCGCCACCAAGTATGCAAAGGAGCCCCAGCCAGAGTTCCGCTTTGAAGCTGAACTCCATCTTGATGCTAGGGGGTCCGTCATTGGGTCTTGCCGAATCCAGGCAAGGGCTATCGATCAGCTATGTCTCCCAGAGGATGAGAAGCTTCTCAGGAGAATACCCAACCTTGGCCTTCATCAAGCTCTTCGCAGTTATTTTCTCCAAGGGGCTCTATTGGAAAACGAGCTATTCGGTCGGGCAGATCATCTTTGGACTTTGCATCATAAGCTTCTTGAGGAGGTTGATCTATTAAGGGCCAATGATGAAGTCCTTCCACAACAGCTCGCCGAAGATTCTACTTCTGATGTTTCTCAAGTTGCCAAGCTTAGACGAGAGCTAAATGAGGTACTTCAGGAGAGGGATCGCACTGATGTCTTAGCCCGGGCGGAGAAGGCGGCGGCGGCTCATGCGAAGCGTCAGTTAGATGCGACGGAGGCGACCATTGCCAAACTTCAAGAAGAGATCAAGCATCTGAAGTCTAAGCCCCTCCAGGAGGTTATCGACGAGCATCGTCAGGAGATTCTTGATAGCTTTCGTCAAGATATCATTGATGAATATCGGGGGAGTTTAGCTGGTCGAACCGAAGTGACGTTAGCTTGCAAAGCTGGATGTGATTACATGTCGGCTCAGATTATGATCGAGATGAAGAACAACCCCAATCGCCTTCATTATCCTTCCATGGTCACCAACTGTTTACGCGAGTTGGAAGAGTTAGAGGCACGAGGAGCAGGATTTGACTTAAGTGGGTCCGGGGGTACTTCAGACGAGGAACCAGATCGATCGACTCCTCCGTCGGCTACTCTGAGAAGTTCTCCACCTCCGATTTCAGGAGCCGAAATGGATCTACAATAGTATTCATAGGAGTTTTCTTCCCTTGTCATTGTAGATTCCAATTTTGTAATGCTTGGCTAATGAATGAAAAAGTATTATCCTCTTATTTTGTAGAATCTCGGACTTTTGCTTGAGTGAGGTGAGATCTTCTCTGTAGGTTTGGAAGAATTTTCTTACTGTCCTTGGGACGATCAGTATTGCCTCCTAAGTTGATACTGGGAGGTGTCGTCTTGGCTTAGTCATTAAGGGGATGTGTCGACTTTTTTGAGATACTGTTTCATGTCGATGGGTCCCGCTTCTTAAGTCGATTTGTCCGACTAGTTGAAGTCTATTATGCCGACTAGCGTCGCTGTTCGTGTCGTCAGTAGAGAGGACGTCGTTTCGTTGGCCAGCAAAGGCGTCGATTGACGGGATCATCTTTTTTCTTTACAATATATTCTTCGAGAGGATTTGGACTGTCGTTGCCTGATACGACGTGACAGCTTGTCTGTCAGCTGTCGGGGATTCAACAATGACGCTCTCAAGTTCTCGAGATCCACGTAGCGTAGGGTTGCGGAACGGATGCGACATTCCAAATTTCAAATTTCAAAAACGCCCATCCCTCTTCATTGAATCTCTGCTATTCATTATAGAGAATGAGGGTCGCTTGGATAGCTCCACCTGTCGATTGAAAGTTTATAAATTTACTTGGAGAGAAGGGGAGAAAAACCTCTCATCTTTTTCCCTTGCTTTCGTAGCGTTTCTTCTCCCACTCCTGATCTTTCTCCAATCAGAGTTTTTAATGGCTTCACTAAGCTCTGCTAGCGGTCGCAGCGAGGAAAGGATCAGCCTCCTTCGTCCCAGCCATTCGAAGGTTTCTGCTAAGAGCCTTGAGAGGTTCTACAGCCTCTACGACATCCATCGGGACTTCAAATTGGAGATCCCCGAGGGAGCGGATCCGATCTACCACCATGGTCCTGGTAGAGTTCACCGCTTTTGTGCCTTTCGGCTCACATCCTCCTCCCGAGAGCTTTTACCCTTTGCAAGTCTACTGCTGTCTCGATCTTCTCAGTGATTTTGAGGTGAGAGAAGGGAGATTGCTATCAGGTGATGATGGTGAGTCTTCAGACGGTGCGGATGAGGAAACGACAGCTGTCATTCCGCTAATGGAAGGGGGGACTGAAGCCCTTGTGATACCTGCTCATCCTACTGATCTGGTGCTCTGGGCCAAGAGGTTTTAGCAACTACTGATGCAGCCGCTCCACCTCCGGAGACCCTCGCGGTTTAAGAAAAATAAGAATGAGTCATGTTTCCTTTCTTCTTCTTTTTGATCAGTCGTTGTAATTGGTACTTTTGACTTTGTAAATAAGAAGAGCTAATGAAGAAATAATTTCATTTCGAGTGTTTTAAACTCTTGATTTTTTTCTTGTTCCTGCTTGATTGAAAGGTGATACAAGAATCCTTGAAGTTGGTTGCCTAGGCTTGAGAGAGTCGACTAGGTCTTTTCCTTCCCCTAGGGCCGAGAGGTGACTGTAGGAGTCGGTCAAAGGGTTGTGCCTTGGGTTTATTCCTGATAAGGTACCAAAGGCTTTTTATCAACTGAGGAGTCGAGTGCCTAGGTGACTAGGTCTTCCATTTTCTCCTAGGGCCGAGAGGCGACTGTGGGAGTCGACCAAAGGGTTGTGTCTTAGGTTTATTCCTGATAAGGT